ATAATAAAGAAATAAATAAAAAGAAATTCTTTAAACATTGGTTGGTTTCAGTGACATTCATTTTCCAAGCCTGGGAGAGATGTATGTATATCTACACTCAAATAATGTCACTTTGGTATTGCCAATGAAGTGGTATTAATTGTTTGCTTGATTTCATAATTCTCAACAATTAATTTTTCTACATATTTTAAAGATAGTTATTAAAATATTCTTTTGTCCTTTTTAGGGACATGGTATACCAATATTCAAGCAGGCAAAACACCCATACACATAAAATAAATATTAAAAATTTTAAAACTAAAAACAAAATAATTAAAAAATAAGAATGAAAATCCTTTCTGAGTGGATCTTGGATCTACTTACCACCAAGTAACAACAAACTTCAGAATATCATTTATTTCCTGTATGTATTTACTTAATTCTTTCTGGCTTCCCTTTATTTTCTTTATGGAAGATTACATTTTTTATTATTTCTGATTATGTGTGAATGTGGGGCTGCAAGCATGCACAGAGGGGTGCAGGTGTCTCCAGAGGTCAAATGAGTCTGGAGTTATGGGCAGTAGGAGTCTCCCAATGTAGCTGCTAGAAACTGAACTCAGGGACTCCAGAAAAGCAGCGCTCACTCTGAGCCACGGAGCCATCTCCACAACCCTTTCCCTTTTATTGTCCACTCGGCTGATTTCCTTATCACTCATGAAGAGCTTATAACTGTGTGCCTTTCCAATCAATTTCGTTATTTATTACACTTATACAAATATCAGTGCCTGTCATAAGTAGTCTAGCTGCTAATTTTATCATTGTTTTAAAATTATAAAAGAAATACCTTATTGAAAGAAATATTGAATTGAATTTTTAAGTTATGTGGGATTTTAAAATCGAGTAGTTTTGTGGGAACTGAACTGCAGTTCTTTGGACTTTTACAAAAACACTTTAAAGCATTTTTTATAAAGCTTTTGTAAAGAAATCAGTGTTTAGCAAGGTTATATCTTTGTACATTCTAACATGGATTCAAATAAAGTAAAAAGCATGAACCAAACTGGCTAATGGTGGATGGACTTCATATGGGTATGACAGGTTTTGTCAATATTTGAGGCTATCAGCAAACTCAGCACTGACGGATATGCCAGTGCAGTGCTTTAATTAGTTATGGATTCAATAAATTAAAGAGTCCTGGATTGAGTACTTACTGGTGGATAATTAATTTCTAATCCTTTGTTTTCATTTTTAAATCTTATTAGCTATTAAATAACCATACTCTTGGTTATGCAGAAGATAAGACGAGAGAGTCACATGATGTGTGTAATAAAAAGGGTTTAAGTTGGTGCTTCATTGCTTGACCAGGGTCTGGAGTTTCATTACAGTGCTGAGTATGAAAAGGAAGGGAAAGGGAATGGGCTGTTGGAGGGGAAGGAGAGAGAGGTAGAGACTAATTGCTCCCTCTCTTCTTATAAGGTATTTTAGTTACTGTTTTATTGAA